CACCATATCACTATGTAGGAAACTGCGTAGTGACACCAGCATATCTTTCAGAACCGTGTCCACTACAGGGGTGTTAGAGGTAGGAAAGGTGTCAATGGGGTCATGGAGTTCCCTAGTGTCATCCAGGGGGAGAGTTACCTGGGGTGTGAAGGATTGCTGTGTAGGCCGCTTCTGACGATCTTGCTGTGGATTGCCCGCAGTAGACGAGGAGCTGCTGGGTGGTGTAGTGCCCCGGGTCCCGCCGAACATTCTTTCAGGAGCCGCAGCTTTTCCCTTGTGGTGCAGGGCAGAGCCGAGTGGGACGCCTCGTGTGTCTCCGGCGCCATCTTGCCTGGCCGGAGCTCCGGCTACAGTGAAGAAGTCGGTCAGTTTGCGGGGAACGCTCTTCTTCGTTTTTCTCCCCATGCAAGCTGAGGTAGTGAGCGGGTTCTCCGCTGCCTGAGGGGAACGGATGTTGGCACTCAGTCGCTGGGAATGTCGCTGGTTAGCTGTTAGACCTGCAGAGCCTCTCTACTGTGCGGCCATCTTCTCCGGCGTCAGGCCACGCCCCCGTACATTACCTTTTTATGTGACGTGATCAAGATTTTCTACATTTCCCCACCACCACTTGCCAGCTGCCTCTGTTTTGTTTAGAGTCCCGCTGAGCAGCAGCACTATAGAGGATATCGGTAAACGTTACTAAAAGGTTTTCAATCTTCCTGCATAGTAAAGATCCATTACCACCACATGTGTTGGGGCTGAGCTGGCTGTTTTTGCAAACAAGATAAGGCAATTTGCCTTGTCACGGGTGGGAAGCGGTTAAAGGTGCCCATACACCTTGCGATTATCGTTTGGAAATCCAACACGATCAGGTTTTCATATGATAATTGGCCAGTTGATGGGAAGTGAACGATCACAATTACTGTGCTTTTGGCCGAATTTCCTCGATCGGTCAGGCTGGAAAATGTATTTCGAATTGTACGAAAATCGATGTATTATTAGCGTTTTCGTACGGAAAAAATCGCAGCAAGGACACTGCACATGCGCAAATGAAAATCTGTTCTGTCGATCGACAAAATTCAGTGAGTTAGTATTGCTATCAAACGATTATCGAACTCGGCATTGGTCTGGGCATGATGGGGCAGTCTTGCGGAAATCGAACGAGGGCTCGATGACGGCAGGAAGGAAATCGAACGATAATTGCAGAGTGTATGGCCAGCTGAATACTGAGAAGCCCCCTTTATTGCTCTCAGACTGCCAGTGTCCCTAGTGCAGGGTGCTGTTAATGATCAACTTCATACCTCAAATTCTCTGTGCTCCTCTGCCTTTCTATTCATTGTTTAGAGCAGTGGTTCTCAACCTTTCTAGGGCCGGGACCCCTTGGCACATTTGCCAAGTTGTGGTGACCCCCAACGTAAAATTTAGAGATGACACGGCCGCTGCATGTTGAAGAGCAGGTTACAAGTCAGTCCTAATTAACCGTTTTAAGGTCCCCAGAATTAGCATTAAAATTAAGCTTAACACTGAGTAATATCTCTGAAGTGGTCAGCAAGGCCGCCTTTTAATATTCATTGGACCCTGAGCAAACATTTTTCTGGGCCGCCCCACCCTTACCCCCAAGCCACGTCCTCTACCTGCCACACCTCGCCCTGTCACACTACCTACTTGCCCTGCACCCACCATGCAATTCCCCTCTCCACCACAGCATCCCAAAAAAGGGAGAGGTTGTGCAGCATACAGCAGGGATGAAGCAAAACTACACAATGTCAATCGCATAGTAAACAGAATGGTGCTGCCCTTCACCCTGTCCTATGCCATACTTTACCTGTGTACTGTACCATCCTACCCCCTGAATTGTACCACCCTCCCTCCTATTCTATACCATCCTTCCACTTTGTACTGTGTCAACCTCAC